CCTCGTGCTGCCCTGCTGTGAGGAAGCCCCTCATGGGGCCATAGCTCTGTGCTGGCTTTGATGTGGCCTGAGGCAGCTGTGAGGGGAGGTGATGAAAGAAGAACTACAAAATGGTGGTAGCTCCGCCTCCCCCCACCTCAACAGCTTTTGCTGTAGGACCTTTCGAAGCCCAAGGTGGTGCCTTTGCTTTTGTGTTGGGCTACTGGGAGGGAGAAGCTTTGTGGAAACACCTCGAGGGGCAGTGTGGGGAGCAGTTAGGCCTCCAAACTGGTGCTGCTTTAGGAGAGCCTGGAGTGGAGCAGCTTCTCTGTGAGACTGAGTGACCAGGAGCTTATTTATCCTCCCCTCGCAGGTCTGTCTTGTGCAGGGTTTTCTCTGTGAAATGTTCATGGTTTTGGGAAGGGGCTTCAGGAGACCCATCTAATCCAGTCCCCCTGCTCAAGCAGGGCCACCTGGAGCCCTTTGTCCAGGCTGTGTCCAGGCAAACTTAGTTTAATTCACATTTAGACCTGCTTAAAAAGGGCCTGAAATCCTATGTAATAAGTATTCGTTCTTCTGCTAATGAATAAAAAAAAATTTCTAGTCTGAAGATCTCCATAGGGATGGTGTTGCTGTTAAGTTTCTTTTCATTTCTGCACTATAAAAACTTTGGCTTGAAGAAAAGGAATTTAGAAACATATTTTGCTGTTGTGGAGTGTTTGCAAGGTTATATGTCTGCCTGAATTGTGTGTCAATTTTACTGACAAAAATAGCAAGTAAAAAGTCTAAGTTATAGATAGTTATTAATTATAATTTTAATAAGGAACCTAATAAATTAAGGACTGCACAACATATGTAATTTGTATGCACGCACATACTCACTCATGAGCCTGTCAAGATAAGGTGCAGAAATGTCTGTTTTCCAACAGCCTTAAGGAGGTTGGAATACAGATAATGAAATACATCTTTATAGATGCATTTTTTACTATGATCTCCTGATCCTATTTCATGTAGACTTACTGATAATTTGTTAAGCAAGGGATAGGGTGCAAGTTCTTTCTTTCCTATTTTTGAGGCTTGTGGGGGTTTTGTAAGAACTTACTATGAAAACTTGTTGGTGCATTTAGACTTTTGGGAGTATGTTCTGCTGAAGTTAAGAGAAACTCAAGGCCCTAAGTACAAATTTAAGTGATTAAAAGTTATGCCCAGAATGAAGGGGCTTCCGTTATCAAATCAAGCCTTAACCCAGGAATTTGCCATTTTTTTCATCGTCTTCCTTTCTGGAACTTTGCATAATAAATGCACAGTTCTAGAGTTTTTGGAGGTATGTAACAAGGTTTATAAAATAATATAAAATATGGTTGTTTATATAAAGGTCATTTTTCCAAAACAGCTTTTTTTTAAAAGAAAAATGAGAATATGCATAGTTTATATTTTCTGAAGTTTTGGGAAGAAAGTTCCCATGAATGGAGCTTCTGGTTCATCCTGGACCTTGTAGGCTTATTACCACTTTCCTATTTCGTTACTTTTTGTACTTGGTTACAAATTTTTCACCATCTGTTTTCATTCACTATCTCTCTTCTGACAGTCACTTTTAATGTCTTGCTTTGTCTGACTTTGTCATCTCCATTTGATGGAGATTTCCTCAGTTGTTTTTTTAGATTCGTATTTATATTCAAAGTTTCCACTTTATGGCGTGTGTATGTACAATATGTGGTGATGTAGGCAGAGATGAGAGGTTGAATTTTGTGTGTCATTAGAAATGATTCTGGTGTCGTAAACATCTCTGAGTGTTAGAGCTTCTGGCTACTTTGCGTTGCTTTTGCCATAGTGTTCCCACCAGTGCTGTGACACAAATGACATACGACTTTATTAAGAGGTTTCTTTAAGAACAAGTTTCACTCGGGTGTAAGATATTCCTTCCTGTATCTAGAAAGAAAATGTGAATTGTTGGATATTTTTCCTCTTAAAGGCCCATGTCTGTGAATATTAAAGATCCAAAGCTGTTCCTAGTTGCTTAGATAGGTAGCTAAGAAGCATTTTTAAGTATTTCAAATTCAGAATATCTGTGCTGTTACCAGACAACATAAGCCATATTTATATGGCATTGTTAACTAAATTCTAATAATTACTCTTTTATATAACATAATTTTTAAGTAAAATTATTCTAATTTTGTTTCGTTAGACAATAGAACATGCATAATAATGTAATTCTAGGAAATACCATCCTCAGGTTGGTAGACCAATCTCTTGAGTCCTTTTCTTGCTGTTTTATAATTTCTAAAAATCCACTGGAGTTATAACTATCTGCTACAGGACTACTTGCTAGTTACTTTTAATTTAATTATCTACTAGTGCTACCACCACCCTCAGAATTGTTTTGGAAAACTTTTCCTGAAGTTTTTAGGCTGTTAGACTTGGGTGCTCATCCTGAAAGTGCCTTATAAATCTTCCTTCATAAAATGCAAACTTATTTATTCAGTGTAATTAAAGTTTCCCATAACCTCAAAACCAGAGTGAGAGAGGAGCAAAGCAGCATTTATTGCCTCATGAATCATTAAAATATATTAAAACCTAAGAGTAGTTAGTTGATTATATGCATCTCTATGCTGTTACATGCTGTTACAATATTGTAATTTATAGGTAATTTTTGTGTCAGTGTTGTCACTGAGAAGTTTAATAGGGGTGCTGAAATTTGGTTTAATTTTATTTTAATCCTCCAGCTCAGAAGTTAACTACAAGTTTAAAATCTTCCAGAGAAGACAGAACGTGGTGTGTTTTCCAGTTTTATAGTATTTCAGTTTATTTTTTCACTTTTTCTCCTCTACTGGAGGTTAATACTGCTTTCCAGTAAGTGTAATACATGCACATTCTGAAACCCTGTTTTGATGGGAACATTTAAATATCAACGCTTCACTGTAACCAGAACACTTTTATTGCTGTTGTGCATGGCAATACTATAAATGTGTTATTTTAACAATTTTAACAGTAGTGGATATAAAATCATTTGCTGAAATTACATCTTCTTGCTGCAGATTGAGCAGCAGTGCCCAATTCCTTCAGTAGGTGTGATGATTGCTGGAGCTGCTTTGATAGAAATATAATAAACCTCAATTAAAAAGAAGTCAATATATTTGTACTGTCACAGTGCTTTCATTAAAATCATGCTGTTATCATTAATGATCATCAGTGTATCCTGATATTCTTTATTTTCTCTTTAAAAGAATGTTAACATTAAATGGGTTTGTAAAATGCTTGTTTATATTATGCTATTGCTTCCCTGAGTGGCTGTTCCATGTGTCATGGTGCCTTACTCTTGAGTCACCAAAATCCTGCAGATGATGTGGTACCTATGCCACACAACCTGCATATCCAATTCACACCCGTGTGGTGATCTCAGGTTAATTGAATGGCTCCACTAAGCTTTTTAATGAGTTCAGGCTTGTGTGTTAGGATTTCTTTTCATTTCAGCTTGCTCCTTTCGTGGAATCGGGAAGCCAGTAAATCCTTGACAGTTAAATCACGCTGATGTAGAAAGAAGCGCTTTGCCAGTTGAGCTGAGGTGTTAAAACAAGTTGCTCCCTTCCCGTAGCTCCCGGTGCGAGGCAGGTTACCACTCCAGAGGTGCAGGGGAATAACTGTTAGTGCTCCTCGTGTGCTTCGCCGCAAAGCCAGGCAGGGTGGTGGAAATTACCCTGGAAGTGGCATTGCTGAAAGGCACTAACTGACAGGTGGAGACAATTACTGCCTTCAGTAATTCCTTAAACTACTGCGACTTGATCTGCAAGGGTGAATTTATGCTATAAAATGGAAAATAAAGTCAGAAAAGAGAAGAAAAGAAGTTAAATTTTTATATGAAAGATGAAAAGTAGTCAAGAAGTTAGTAGCACAGGTATTATTGGAAGCAGATGCTAAGATGGCATGAGCTAAAACGTCATTGACTAGAAAATCAATTTAAAGGAAGCTGTTGCCCTTCTATGCAACACAGACTGTCTGAGGTGATCCTAGGTTCTGCAAAGGCCCTTACCCATGGAGCGCTATGTACTTGTGTCTTCATAGAATCATATGGGTTGAAAAAGACCTTTAGATCAAGTCCGTGTCAGAAGGTAATACTGGAATCTTCCTCCTTCCTCCCATAAGCAAAAGAAATCAATACTATAGTAGAAATTAATGGCAAATGAGTTCACCCTTGATGCTAGGAAAAATCCTCCAGCTTCAGCTCTCAAGTTAAAAACTCTGGATGTTCAGCTGTTGTCTTCCTCTGCTGGGGCTTGTCCACTGCTCTGATCAATTCAGACATGTCACCCGAAATTCAGTGCCTGGAATAGTGGTATGTTTAACATTAGGTCAGTTCTTGCCTTTCTCAAAGAAAGGGGCTGTTGTATTTGTGCCTGTAGCTGTGTTAGATATTTCCACCCATTGGCTAAAGTTCACTAGATGCCTACACATTGAGTTTTGATATTTAAAAATACCTGGCTTTCTTTCCTGTTATCAAGTATTGCATCATTTTGTCTGTGTAAAAATTGGGGGAAAATTAAGGAAAATTCTATTGATTGCCCAAGTCGAGTGAGGAGTATAAAAAGAAATGTTTTCAGCAGATGGCTGCTTATAGATTTCTTACCTACCTCTTTCTTTAGAGACAAGAGGAAGAAATCAAGGGCAATGTTGGCAATAGGTTAAAAGATTTTTTTTTTTCCTTTTTCTTGAGGAGCAAAAGAAAATCTCAAGCAGAGGAAAATGCAGTCTTTATTTGTACTTATTTGTTCATAATTCTGGTCCTAATCTAAAAATTTTACCTTGGTGTTTAGTAAGAAGGTTTGAATAAAAAAAAAAAAGAGTTTTATAATGGTTTGTGAAATATCTTTTTCTTGATTTGGGTTTTGCAGCAGTTTAGGTTACTTGTATTGGGAAAGATCCTCTTTCTGTTACTTTAAAACTTTTAATTAAACTAAAAAATACAGAATACTGTTTTCTTAATTTGTTTAATAATAAGTTTTAATTCTTTTCATTTTTCCAGCTACTCTTGGTCTTCTGCATGAATATCCATTAGTCATTCTGGAGATGGACTTGCTGTTTGGAACCTACCTCTTGGCAGTCTTATTAGCCTGCATTATATTCCAATCTGGCGCACAGGAGAAGAATTACACAGTGCGGGAAGAACTGCCTGAAAATGTCCTGATTGGCAATTTGCTCAAGGATCTTAACCTAACACTGGACCCAGACGTGCCCCTTTCCTCCCCGCTTCAGTTCAAGCTTGTGTACAAGACTGGGGATATTCCGTTAGTTCGGGTGGAGGAAAACACGGGGGAGATATTCACCACCGCAAACCGCATCGACCGCGAGAAACTCTGCTCTGGCATCGTGAGTGAGAACCGCTGCTTTTATGAAGTGGAGGTTGCTGTTTTGCCTGATGAAGTCTTCAGATTGGTCAAGATCAGATTCCTAATTGAGGATATAAATGACAATGCGCCTCTCTTCCCCTCAACAGTTATTAACATCTCTATCCCTGAAAACACAGCGATTAATTCTCGCTATTCTGTTCCATCTGCCATTGATCCTGATATTGGTGCCAATGGTATTCAGCATTATGAGCTCCTTAAGGTGGGTTTCTTCCACTTTTCTTATGTTTTTGTGTGTCTTTGTGTTACTTTGAACCCACAAAAGTTGTCAGTTGTCACCAGCCCATTAAAAATAGCAAGCTGTGTTCCATAGTAGTGTTACACTGTAAATACCTGTCCTGAAATCTGAACTTAGACCTGGAGCCCATTACAGCATGCCATATCTTACTGTGTAGACTTATGTATATGTGTTTGATGTGAGTAATGTGATTCCCAAGTAAAGGATTCCTTCCATTTGATTCTCATAAGCAGAGATTTTAAAGCAAGGAAGAAATGCATCCTAAAGCTGTTAGTGCTGAGAGGCTGAAAACACCTTCACTTCCTTGGTTTGCTGAACTGACAAACCGTCCAATGGCTTCCTGCCCCAAACCACATGGAATCCACATCACTGGCTGCAAAAATATGCAATGTGCAGGCCAAGACAGACTTGATGGCTTAATAGCTAGTGTGCACTAATATCATTGCTTACTATCAGTTTAATGAAAAGAAAATTCTGCCTTATTTCTCTTAAATTTCTTGTTGCTTCAGTCCCTTGTGGAATTGTGGGTGCTACGGACAGAGAGGAAAACAGGAGGTGCTGTTGTAATAAACTTCTGAAGTTTTTAGTTCCTAGGTTGCATTGAAAGTAGACAGACCTCCGTGGTGCAGTAGATGGTGGAATGTCCAGTAAGATACAAAGTCCTCTTTATCCCATATTTTCACTAAGAATCTGGGATAGCAGAATACTAAATAGATAATAATAATAGTAAAAAAATTAGACCAGAAAAAAATAAAAATTTGGGCTAAAGAAAAGGTGGTGAAATAATAAATATACTGTCTGAATAGGGAAATATATCCAAGGCAAATATGCTGTTATTCAAGGAAAAGGAGAACTATGGGAAAACAGCAAAACTGGGAGTCCTGGGGGACTGAGTGAGCAACACATCTGATAAATTGAAAAATAAGACTGCTGTTGTGCAGCATGTTGGACTGCATGTTCAGAAACATCATGTAACAGATCAGCAAAGTGATAGAATATCTGTACCACACAAGTGAGAGCTTGTCTGAAATACAAACTGCAGCTCTGTACAGCTCCTTACCTAAAGTAAGGCAGAGGAAATTTGGCCCTGTCTAAAGATCTAATGTGATGTGAGATGTTCCAGAAAAGAGAAAATTAATTTGCTATTTTGATAAAATAGTTCAGGAAAATTTTTATAAATTTATTTAGGTGTCCCTGAATTTTTTTCCAAATAATAGTCTAACAAGAGTTATGGGATACATATTGTAAAATCTTGTGCCAGGTTTGCTACAGTCAAAATAATTCATACAGTGATAGCCTGGTCTTCTACACAAACTGGCTATATTGTTCTCTTGCATGTTTATGTGGTAATTTGAGTTATTCATTGCCTTTCTTCAAAAGAACCACCAGTTTCATGTATCTTAGAAAATACCAGTAAGTGCAAGAAGCAATTTGCATCGACCACCAGCACCATGTGGAATAGTAACATCCGCATGTTATTCCCTTCAAATCCCAGTAGTATGTTAATTCCCAAAGTGAATAAGAAGGAGGGAAGAAAAAAAAAAGTGGTGGAAATGAAGATTTCTGGTAAGCAGTAGAAATTCTTGTGCAGAAGACTCAAGTATATGAAGTTCTCTTGATGAATTCTACATAAACTTTGTGAAGGGGAGAAAAAAGGGCTGCTTCTTCAGCAAGTAAAGATAGAAGCTGTGGTTGTAGCTGTTGCTTGGATGGATCATCTTTGCTTTGGGAGAGAGGATCTGGGTGGTTTCAGAGAGGGCGAGGTCCAACTGATGGGGAGTTCAGGCGCCAGGACAAGATGTGTGTCTGTGCAGGAGCTCCAGCAAGCTGTTCAGGACACGAGAAGTGCAAAAATGTGCTCCTGTGCCCAGCTTTCTCAGGTAGTTGTCACGTTGCCATGAGGCTGTGCTGCAAAAGGGAAAAGAGATATCAAGAGCCATTTTGTTAGCTGCCAACTACCCATGAAATTTATTTTATTAATAGCCAAATCATATGGTGCTACTTCATGTTTAAAAAGAGGTGACTGAATATTTCACAAATTACATTTTTAGGTCCAACATTAATTCCTTTAGTGACATGATCCTCAATTTTTTTTTCCTAGTCTCAACAGTTTCATTTGGGGGCTGCTTTGATTCCAGTTTACCCGTGGCAGACTTTTTTTCCCCACAACTTCAGTGATCTGAGATTCATATTTTTTCACCTGAATATATATGTGTGCATGTATATTGTCCCAAGGAATTGGAGATTGCTGTGATGGGAGTATTTGGCGAACAGATGAATTGGACCAGTTTTAAACTTTAAAGCAAGATTTCACTAAGCTCATTTGCGAACAGCGTATTTCATGATAATAGTCTGTTCTCACACATCAGCCATTATCACTAAATACTGCAAAACTCTTGGTCTTCAGCAGTAGTATCCTACATTAGCTGTGTGTATAGAGTGCTGTAGTGATATAGCTAAAGCCTTTGCCTCTTTGCCTGGAGCAATGTGATCAGTCATGAGAGCTCTTTAATGACAAGTGGAAGTTGGAGTGGAAGTGTCTCTTTTCCATCTTTCCTTGGTCGTATTCGGTGTTTGTTTCTTGTCCCAGTGCTGTCTTTGTTGTTTGTTTTGCTATTCCTGCTTTTTGTATGTTGGGTAGGATGCCCTGTCTGCTGCTTTGTGCTTTGTTCTTTATCCTGCTATCACTTGGTTGGCACTTACGTGCAGTTCCGCAGGCCTCGAGGTCTGGCCTCTCTGAGGTGGGCGGTCGCAGTGCACATACGCTTAGGTAAAATGCCTATCCGTTGTCTGGCTGTGCCATTAAATACTGCTGCTGGTTACACTGTTTTAGTATATTTAAATATATATATTTATATATTAATATACATATAAAATACTTATATATGTATATGTGTTCAAGATATTAAGTAAAGCTTGGTTAATATACGAATAATTTACAGGTGACGGAAGCTGCTGCTGTGACTCTGAGGTTTTCATGTGAAGCGTTTCTCGAGTTTTCTGTTAGATGTTAATAAGGGGAGCTGTTCCTGAGCAATTTTTGAACAGAGGGATTTATCCAGCAGGCA